GACTTGGTGAGAATACATATTGCGCCTGCTAACTCTTTACGGGTGCCTTTGTTCCCTGCTGCATTACAACCTTAAATCAAAAATCCAGCAAAAAACAAGATAAAATGAATAGCCCATTAAAAGAGGAAAAAACTCAGCTTTTACTTATATATTCACCTTCAATACAAAGATTTATCCCACAGTACTATTTCTGCCACTAGATGTTGTAATGGCCAGCAGCATCAGTCAACCCATTTCCGTTAAAACCCAGGTTGTCTTGGACTGCCCCAGCTTGTGACTGGACAGTGAAAGGAGAAGCAGCACAGTGATTAGTTCATCTCTCTTTCACTTAGGTTCCATTCTTCCTATTATCATACGTTTTGTAAGCACATGAACTGATTGGCTCAATCTGCACCATGATTACTTGTCTCCTCCTCCAATGGAACTTCATTGCTTGACCTGATGACGTCCTATAAGAAAAACATGTAGTCTTGGCTGTTCACAGAGCAAATGTTTTAAAGTACTCTTTTGGTTACCATTTATTTAAGTAGTAGGTCTTTTTTTCTGTTGTACTGAGAAAAATACAGAGGTAGCCATTGCTGATCTTCTGAAAATACTAATTGCCCAGTTTTTTCAAAAGGAGGTTTTTAAAAATGTGACTTGAAGCTTAATAAAGGATTGTGATTGCTATTAAGTTCAGGAACTGCACTTTTCTATTTCTACATATTCAGAAGGAGGTCAGCACTATCAGTCTACCTATATTTCTCAGCACAGGTTTCATATAAGGTATCAGATCAGCATCTTGGTGTCTCCTGGTGTCAGATCAGCCCCTTTACTAACCACTTGGCTACCCATAAAAGTCACCCTATGAACCTTCTTAAAGATACACCTCATGTATGTCCTTGCACTTTGGATCCCTCTACAGCAGCAAGTTATACCAGCAATGTAGTTACCTTTGGTTTCCTCTTTTCCTGGGGAGTCACAGTATATTTTGGATTTAAAATTTAGATTTGCTTGCATGAGATCTCAAACTTTTACTTGTTGTTGATGTGAAAGTCATATATTTATCTTATCTGTGATAACACAAAGGACAATCGATGCAAACTATGCACATATAATCCAGCCTGTCTAAGGGAAGGAAATTAAAGTTTCTGTCTTTTGACGTGAAGGTAGCCTGGATTATTTCTTACTTTTATGCTTTTCAGGAATTTATATGCGGATAAAATAAATGCATGAATGGTGTGATGTGTTATGAACATTAAAACGTAACATTATGTTATATCATGTGTTTCTTGGCTCATACTTTCAAGCACTATTTCTGCAGGGACTGAAAGCAGGATTATCATTTCCAGCAGTTAGTTGAACACATGAGAACCTATACTAGTGTTTTGGTCTGTCATTCAGTGTTAATCTTGAGATTTTGTGGGGATCATTGGAACTCCAACTAAAACCTATTTTTTTTCTGTTTTGGGTAAAGTGGGTTAAAACCAGTTCCAGTTTGTTTTGTTCTCTTTTCTGCCATGTGGGAAAATGTAATCTTTATATAATGTTTATTGAGACCCTGGAGCTATAATTAAGCATTTGTAAATCAGTAATTGCAACCCCATTCCCTTGTGTATGTAAAACTCCAACTAAAACCTATTTTTTTCTGTTTTGGGTAAAGCGGGTTAAAACCAGTTCCAGGTTGTTTTATTCTCTTTTCTCCCGTGTGGGAAAATGTCATTTTTTCCCGTCTCCAGGACAGGAAGTGAGGGCACTTTTTTTTTTAGTGGGAACACAGATATTACAATGGGAAAGGGTTAAACCCTTTGACAGATTTTTATTGCTGTGGACATTCCTGTTGGGGAGATTTCAGCTAATTTGCTGTTTGGTCATCAAATGTTCTGGGATACAGACAGCAATAAAAGTCGAATAGGGTTTCTCCTATGAGTTTTCTCTTAAACTTATAGGAGTTTAAGCTGGAGTTCCACTTGAAGGATTAAAACAAGATTTTGACTAGTGCAAGATAAATCCTTGTTGTCATCTTGCTGTTCATTCACTAATTTTTCTTCTGGCTCTCATTTATACACCTATAAATCATTTTGATAATTGCTGAAGCCCTGATGAACGGGTAATGTCTGGCCCATGAAACGTGATGGCTGCCTTTTGTTCTCCTGTTTGTCACTGACAGAATCAATAAAATACATTTGGACTCTTGTAACATTTGCTTGGTGCTCAGTCTTAGCTTAGCTGATGCTTATTGATTGCATAATTGTTTACTAATAAGTTGCTAGAATGTCATAAGTGCAGAAACCCATATAGAACAGAGTTTTTAAGGAGCCAGTTTGGAAGGGCATAATATTTTTCCGAAAACTGACAGGTCCATCCAAGTGCTGTGGCCTTACAATGCTAAATGTGCTTCATAAAGTTTTAAGCTGCAACAAACAGATACTTTCATTATCAGCTTGTGGCAGGGCAAGGGAACACATATCTACTAATAACTGGAGTAACTGAGAGATTCAACAATGTCAAACCCCAAAAAGAAGTTCCAATGGTGGGGGAGTTGGCATAACTTGAACAATGTACACTATATTATGGAGGCTCCACCAAATCCAAGAAAAATTCCATTGCTTAAAAAACCTGGTCATTCAGTAAATTCAGGTATGCAGCTGACCTAACTTTTGCCACATAACTTTGTTGAACATAGACTTATCCAGTGGAAGGCTCTGACCTATTTGCTTAGCTAAATCCAGGTGGTAATTTTTTTGGACAGGCAGTATTTTATGTTTCAGTGTCCTAGAGGGAGTTTTTAAATCTTGTTGTGTTTATCAATTTTGTTTTTAGTACAAGTGCTCACAATTATTCCAGGGTTAACATGGATTGTGACTTTAGTTTAGCAGAGACAGTTAGATTTGGCTAAGCCTTGTAAAATAGTAAGATGTAAGACACTGAATAATAAAATACATATTGGGACTATGCATAGTATCACATGCCAGATGGTAATGCAGACAAAAGTTGTTATTATTATTATCATTGTGCCAAATGGGATGGAAAAAAACATTTTAGAGACCTGCAGTATTACATTTCAGCCATGTAGTCCACATACTCATGATAATTAATGTTTCTTTCTTGCTGAAAGCTGAATACTGTACTTGTTAACATCTAGTCAGAGTTCCCCAACAGACCTGGTTCCAGACTGCCCAAGTGTTACAACATCCCGTGTGTCTTTTTGAAGTCTGAGTCATGGCTGAGAAAAAATCACCAGTGCTTTGTCATCTTGTCAACTGAACTTTGGGAGGGTCTCCTTCCTGGTCATTTAGACTGCACCTTGGCCAATGTATATACATTTTTCCCCTCAGAACTTCTTTGATGTAGCACACACTCTCTGCATGTTATTAACCGCCTATAGCTAGCTACACAAGTACAATATTTTCTTACATTTGGATATGCACTATATTCTCATACACCTCACCTTGCATTACAGAAAATGTGCAATTTTACAGAGAAAAAAGATGCAAAATAGATTTTGATTGGTAAATTTCCCTCACTCCCCTATGCAGAATTGTACAATCATATTACTCATGTTACAACCACTTCAGATCTAATAAAAATCCAACTCATCCAATTATTGCTCTGCACAGCTTCATCTTATTTATTCATGTCATATACCGTATATACTCGAGTATAAGCCGTCCCGAATATAAGCCGAGGTACCTAATTTTAGCAAAAAAAACTGGGAAAAAGTATTTACCCGAATATAAGCCGAGGGTGGGAAATGAGGCAGCTACTGGTAGATAGATACCAATAAAATTACAAGTACAATTCAACCTAAATTTAAGTAGCTTGCACTATCCAGTAGTAATGTATATAGGCAACGTTATATTAGTTGTGCTGTTTACTATGATTTTATAAAATATGGGATCAGATAGTGCCTTTAAGAAACAGATTTAATTTAGATATATAGAAATATTTTTGCAATTAGAATCAAAACATTATCTGGTTTATTTGATAATATGAAGTGTCATAAAACCAAAACCTTTTTCCTTGTTTAAATAGAGTAGCGGATGGATGAAAACCCTGCTACATTTTTTTTCGTCTTAACTCCATTGCGAAGATTTCCCTTCACATCCGCTCTGATATACACAACAAGAAATGAGATATCTCTCTGAAATGTCCCCTTCATTCCTGTTCTAATGAGCTGTTAGAGTTAACTCAAAATTTTGTATTTTCCTTTAGTTCCCTTTAGAGAGGTTCTAAGTCTTTCACACTATTGAAATATACATATAAAAACTGTTTTAGTTTACATACACCTCAAGCTTTTATCTTAGCCGTGTCAGTGTGGGGTGCCATTTTAAGACGGTGCAGGGACAGTGGCTCCTGCAGACCCTCATCTGCACTAGTACTTGAATGGTTGGCTGTCGGTGACAGCCAGAACCCAGCTCTGAGCCTAATAACTCAAATGTTCAGCTCCAGGGCTTCTGATGCTTCTACAGATCGCTTCATAGGAGCTGGGCGGTGTGTAATGACTCGGCACCTGACTTCCCAATTAGGGAATCCGTCTCCATGCTTCCTTATCACCAGGTGACAAGGAAGCATGGAGGCAGCTTTCTGGCCAATCAGGAAGCCGTGGGGTAGGCAATGACTCGCCACTGGCTTCCTTAATGGCCAGGTTCTGACCAATCAGGAAGCAGGTGGCGAGTCGTTACACGACGCCAGACTTCCTGATTGGCTGGGAAGCCGGCTCCATGCTCCCTCCTCACCAAGTGTTACTGACTCACCGCTCAGCTTCCTGATACCAGAAGTTCTGGTATTGGGATAGGCATCTGGAGCATTTGGGTGAGTACGAATACTCACCCAAATACTCGGTATCGGCACATCCCTAGATTGGGGAATGAGTTAGAAACCCAGACTATAATAGTTTTTTTTAAACATTTACAGCTTACATACAGATATCAGGGCTGAAAAGAGAATTCGTGTGACTTTGATAAACACCAATGCTCTATAAATATTTTAACATGAAATAATATATTCTCTGTTTCTAGGCCTCCCAGACTTGGTACCAGATCCGTATTACATCCAGTCCTCCATTTACGTGCAGAAAGTGTCCATGTACAGCCTAAGATGTGCTGCTGAGGAAAACTGCTTGGCAAGGTTAGTGTGGCACTGCGAATGGAAACACATCTGTTTATTTCTCATATATTATGTTCTCTTTCAATAAAAGCTATTTTTATTAGGATGCATGGACTCATTCTAACATTCTCCAGTTTAGAAAAACTGAGATATTGTTTCCTTTATTTTCTAACATAGATGGCAGGGAGTAATTATTTTCTACTATAATCCTGTGTCTCTAAAGATGATGCAAATAGTTGAGAACCCACTCTGCTGCCAAGCTGTTTTGCTAGTCCGTTTTCAGGTTTTTAGCTGGACACTTACCCATTCACTGGCTTTTTTCTGTTTTCATTTTTTAATTTAAAAATAAAATGCTCCTACTCCCTGAAGTGAACTGATAAAGGGGTCCTTCTCTTTTACTGCTAGAGAAATTATGTTATGATGACAATGGGGGGGGGAGGGGGGTGAGGACATTTTCCACCATAATTGCCCACATATACAGTATGTCAGTCATTTAACCCCTTTGTGACGGGAGTCACAAAGCCCACAAAGTGCCTAAATGACTGGCCACGTACACTGTACGTTACCAGTTATTTGCGGCCCTGTAATGCTGGTAACCGCTAATTCTCAGCGGTTACCATTCATTAATGAATGCCTCAGTATTGAGGCATTCATTAATGAAATAGTTAAGCTTTTGTAAAAGCTTCTTTCTTTCATTAATGAAAGAAGGCACAATCTTACAATAAACCTCTAAATGCTAAATAGACTGGCCCGATGTTTATGAAGCTGTGTGATACATTTCAGGCACAATCTTACAATGTATCTCTGTGCCTGAAATGTATCACTTCTGGTCATCTGGGCAGGATCAGAAACCTTTAGTGAGATCTGATTCTGACATACTTTTTATACTATAATTATTATAAAACATTTCTAAAAAATAATAATTATCAAAACTTGTGAAAAAAGTGTTTTCTTTACGTTTTGTCCTCATTTTTTTATATTTTATTCTAACTAAGTGAGGCATTAGGTACACATATTTGATATAAATATATAGCCCTATCTGTCCTCTAAAAAACAATATATATGTGTGGGTGCACTTATTAAGAAAGTATATTACTGCCCTGTAATATACATACAGCAAAAATGTAAAAAGTGTGTCTGAAACTGAAAACAAGCTCAGTCATGAAGGGGTTAAACAGGGAATTCCATGGGTATCCTGACTCTCTGATATGTTCATTACATATGGGCATCATATCACTGCTCACACTCGTATGTTACTGTTGACCAGCTGGCAAACTTTTGCTAGACTCTAATCAAGAGCAAAACTAGTTTTCCAAAAGGAGTTTAGTCATGTACCTTATAAAAGGTATATCTTGTCAAGGCATCATCTTTACTCTCAACCTAGAACTTCCCTAGGGGTAAAAAAGCATTAAGACCCAGAATATGGTACTAGTAGAAAATCCCAAGAGCTTGCCAGATAGAGAGGACCAACTTCTTAAGGTGCCCATACACGGTACGATTATCGTACGAGAATCGCGGGAAATCCTGCGATCGTACGAGAATCGCAAAGTGTATGGAAGGCGTGCGACCGTTTCTATTGTACTGTTGCACATCTTCTGTCGAACAAGGAGGCTTGAAAACCGGCTGAGGATCGTACGATTCTCGACGGGTTAGTGGCCTGCTTGTTCGACAACTGCTGAGCGGCCGGTGTGCGCACACTGCCCATTTGCAGTCATCGGAAGCCCGCCCCTCATTGCAGTCATCGCAAGCACGTCCCTCAGGGTGGCGGGCATGTGACGATCGCAAGTATGATCTGCCTGTCCAAGATGGGCAGATCGTACAAGCTTTTAATTAGCTTACAACCATCGCAAGACAAAAGTCTTGCGATGGTTGTAACGTGTATGGGCACCTTTAGACTGGTTTTGTTAGTTACACCTGTGCACCAGTGGTCTTTTCTTTGTTGAATGAGTTATTGTTTAAAGCATTAGAACAGATAAAACTTATGTGTGGAAATATTGACTTAATTATATCTGGTCCCTTCTTCAGTAATGGCAATCAAGAGATCATCAGATCATCTTTGTTTCTTGGTCTTGACAAAAGATTCAACAAATATGCTTTGTCAAAATGATCCTAAGAGAATTTTATATGTTCTCAAAGATTGTAATTGTAACTAGAATGTTGATGTGACTATATTGTTCATTGAATAGTCTTTGAATCTTCAAAAAATATGAATTAAATCTTTAGTATATCTTAATAAGATCAGCCTTACACTAAAAGCAGAGTATAAAAAGTAGGAATGACTTTAGTGTAAAAAAATTACAAATAAAGCTATTGTTTGTTAGGAAATGAGCCATAAGTTATAGTACCAGATATTTTCACATTATATTATAAGAATTCACTCAAGGTGCTTACCCATCTATTTAAATAATGTTATCACAGATAAATCTTGCATTCCCTCTTCTCACAAGGCATGTAGCATAATCTAACTCATGTCAAAGCCTTGTTATGCTTTATTTCAACTTTTCAAGCATTCTCCTGTTAAGAGGGGCCAGCTTGGATCACAACTGTGCACAATAATCCATGTTTTGGCAGAAGTTACACAATTTGACATTGCTTATTCCAAGTAAAACTCCAAGCAGTCCCAGCCCACAAATATCCTTTTTAATGTTAAAGCTAAATTCTATTGGATACAGATAATCTTTCGCCATAATATGCAAGCATGCATAGCATACTTGCACATTTTGCAACACTTACCTCTCAATTTGTCCTCCTTCAGCAGTGGTAGGTCCAGCGCTCAGTTACTGCTTCTTCTGAATCCATCATCTCCCATGCCACTTCTTCTGGGTCCCACAATGCTCTTCTTGTAGTTCCTGTGCAGGACCATGGGTCAACTTTGCAGTTCCTAGTAATGTTACAAAGTGGGAGATTAGTTCCTCTTTAAGGTGTACGTATAGCTGAGACATTATTATTTTTTAGTTTTGGATAGAGTAGAAAAGGGTTAGAACCCTTGTCAGGATTCCATAGCTGTCTCTGTGCCTACTAAGGATATTCACCCTGTTTGTACTAGCAATCATTGTTACTGAGACTAAAATCCAGAATCTTGTACTTTCTGGTGGCAGCTGTCTAAGAGGAGAGTTCCCTTACTTTGTTTCCTCTCACTTCCTGCTGTATACAAGACAGAATGAAAATACAGATGGCTAAAAAAAACCTCACAGGGGTTTCATCCATTCCCTACTCATCCAAAAAAAGAGAAAGGACCTCAGTTGTATTTAAGGGCCTGTTCACATGATTTTCAGGTCCTGATCAGGTACGGATCAGGTGCAGATCTGCAGACGCGGTGCTACTCATGCAGTGCGTTTGTGACGCGTTTCTGATGCGTTTTCGGTCTGGATGCTGACAGTTCTCTCTGCAGCATATTAACCCCCACATATGACAAACTTTATTTGGATCACATGACCATCATACAGTGGATAACATGACCAGCATACAGTTAGTCAACATACAAGAAATGTGTAATCACTCACCACATTCTTTCTTCTGGGCACTACTGTACACTGAGTATTCATCATACAGCTCTGATGCTATATCTATCCACTTTTAATTTTTTTGATGCACATTTTTGAAACTGTGTGTGGCGGGGGTCGTAGAGCATTGGTGCATGCTCCATCAATCCGACGAATCGCTCAATGTCCAGGACCATGTTAGTCATGACTGCTGGTTTTCCCTCTGATGCTCCACCACAAGCAGGAAGTCCAACGATGATGACATCATAAAAAGTGGAGCAAGAATACATTTTTTTGCTTAGCTGCATTGCGTTTTCGTTGCGTTTTTGACGCGTTTGTGCGTTTCCTGACCGGACAAAATGTGACATGTTGTATTTTTTCAGTCAGGAACGGAACGGACTGCGCACATGAGAACTGTAGCCCATATAACACATAGGGATCTATTGGGATGCATATTTAGTGCAGGAGCGTACGGATCAGGTCTGCACAGAATACGGACGTCATGTGAACAGGCCCTTAAGTTCATAGAGTCTCAGTTATATGTAAGAATACTTGCAGGTATTTATTCTTCTTAAAGAGGTTGACTCCACCCCGATTGCCTGAGAATAATAATTTTTGGGGGGTTTTTTGCATTCATTGACATATCTTTTTGCATATGCCTACATTATATTGGCTGAATTTTATGAAAAAAGATAAAAGAGACAGTGCTGCATCTGTTATATTTTTGCATGTATGGGAGGATTTCCCCTATCCATCTTCAAAAAGTTGCCTTGCCTGGTGAAATCACATAGTAAAATAGTGACAATAGTATTTGAAGTTGAATAAAGACACAGGTCCATCAAGTTCAATCTTTGTGTGTATGTGTGTGACTGTGCATGTGTAGGAAGATTCCCCTTAAGAACTTAGTGATGTCCATCAGTGCTAAGGTCACTTTTTTGCTACATTAAGTTTGGTTTACATTGCAGTATATACTAGCCCTACCAAACCATAGCTCTCAACTATCCCTTCTTTGTAATAATATACCGTATTTGCCGGCGTATAAGACGGGTTTTGAAACCTTAAAACATCCCCCAGAAATCGGGGGTCGTCTTATACGCCGGGTACATACAGAAGGATATGGTATACTGTATGTAGCTTCGGCTACATACAGTATACTGCACTGAGCCAATCACGGCAGGCTTTGTATTCATTTATACAAAGCCTGCCGTGATTGGCTCGGCGCTGAGCCAATCACGGCAGGCTTTGTATTAATGAGTACAAAGCCTGTATTCATTAATACAAAGCCTGCCGTGATTTACTCAGCGGAAGATGGAGGACACAGCGGGGATCGTGGACAAGGTAAGAGACTGTAATCCCAATTGTGGCTCGGGGGCCACACTCGGGAATACCGCCATGGATGTTAGTGGGTGCATTTAAACATTATTTTGGGCTATACTCGTCTTATACGACGAGTATAGCCCAAAACCTATATTTTAACACAAAAAGGGGGGGGGGGTCGTCTTATACGCCGGCAAATACGGTAGTTTGGTAAAATGGTACATGAAAGCTGTGAGGTTATCCTTTATATTATTGCCTTGCCAATTTTCATGAGCTGGTTTGTGCTTTTATAGTATCCTGTCTTTAACTTAATATATGAATGGTCTATGTAACAGTGGAGAGCATGACCTTGATTGGGGGGGGGGACAAATTTTGTCTTGCAATTCTAATTCTAGACCATGTGCTTCTTGTCCTCTCAGAATGCTGGGAGGCATGTCAATCTAAAATCCATTTAAGTGTTAGACCTAAATATTCAGCTCATTGTAGTAAAGGAATTAATTTCACTGCTAAACTCTGTAAGCACCCCATGAGAGATGTCCTACATTACTGGGAATCCATGGCAAATTATGTGATGTGTAAAATAAACTGAGACCAGTCATGATGTGATAAGCTCTGGTTTACAGCCAGTTTTGTTTTTTTAATAAAAAAGTAAGATTGTTAATACAGCTCCCTACAGACCCAGCACAATTAGAATGTAAGACGGACTGTGTGCTTTATACATCTGGAAAATGCTTAGTATGTGTGTGCCCGCTGATGATCCATAGTACTGAACTTCTTTTGGGTTCATGTCTAGTACATCATGCACGCACATAGCTACATAGCTTAAGAGGTGAGCACATTTAGTTCATTCAGAAATCTTAGTTACCCGACTCCAGTATGTCTAAGGAAAAATTACATAACTTTATTTACTTTGGCAACATCTCCTGTAGCAGGAATGTGCAGCTGATAAATCAGCCCAGACTTAATTGTAATTCTATGTATAGACGTGTATAATCAGTGACTTCTCTGATCTATGGAGTTGGCATACAGAACTGTTCACACGACAAGACGTGGGCAGCCTAAGTCACATAAGCTGCTATAACTATATGAAGTTCTTTTTATTGTTAATTGTGTTAGCTGCAGTAACTGGTAGTTAATTGGAACTTCTTAGAAAGAGAGATACATGTTTAATTAACACATTGGCCTAATCACTCAAACTAAATATTACAAAAAAACTCTTTAATAATCATCTGCTGCTGTGTAATTCACATCTACCAGGTTTTAGTATCTTCATACTCTACTCAAACTCACCCTTGTAGAAATAATATTTGAAATGAGTGGTCACACACTCTTGGGCTTGTTATTATTAGTATTATTATTATTATACAGGATTTATATAGCACCAGTAGTTTGTGCAGTGCATTACAATATAAGGAAGACATTGCAATTACAATACAATTCAAGCTAAGATGGTAAGAATGTTATAGATTTTCAATTACCGACCTGGGCAAGGTGTATACAAGGACTCTGTACATCAATTCTATAAGGTAGTAGAAGGCTGGTGTATCTTATCGCATACCTATGCAATGCAGTCCAAGTTGTAAAAGAAGAGTATGTATATTTAACTTTACAGCAGCATATGTCTTTAAATCCCCCCGCTTTGCTTATCCCTGACCATTGCTGGTGTTCAACACTTGCATGCAGGCCCGGCGCTACCGCAAGGCAAGTCGAACGGCTGCCTGAGGGCGCTGAAGGGTGAGGGCGGAAAAAACAGGGCATTTTGACAAGTACTTACCATCAAGATGGTTACTCCTTACCATCTTGTCCTGAATTGTATTGTGATTGTAATGTCTTCCTTATATTGTAAAGGGCTGCGTAAACTGTTGGCGCTATATAAATACTATGTAATAATAATAATAATTTAATACTTATTACTGCTTTGTGAATGGTGCCATACATTGATTTTGGGAGGAAATATGTGGTTTCCTGATATCTATTTGTTGGATTAACAGTTTGGAACATCAGAAACGTATCCTGCATTACCACCTACAAATATTAATTATTGTTCATGTTCTCTGTTTAATGGTGTTTTTTCCCCCTTTTCGGTGTGTGAGTCACACTGAGTCATGCATTTTTATATTATTAAGAAATTAGTCTTTAGTTTTGTCATGTTTTGTGTTTTACTGAGCACTTCTAAATATTCATGCATTAAAACCTATGCACTGTACATTCATAAAAACAAACGTTTTTTATATCTAGAAAACTATTGGCTATAGTGTACTAATGGTGTTTTTTGTCTTTGCAGTTCAGCCTATCGATCTGATGTCAAAGATTATGACCAGAGAGTGCTTCTGCGCTTTCCCCAAAGAGTGAAGAATCAAGGTACAGCCGACTTCCTTCCCAGTCGACCCCGCTATTCATGGGAGTGGCACAGCTGCCATCAGTAAGTCCATGTTTATTTCACATTGAGGGGTCAATTTGCAGTATTTATTTCCTGAGCTCCTTAGCTCCATCTAGTGGCCATAAGGTAATATTACAACATGCTACATTCAAAATGTGAAAAGCTCTATCTAGTGACCATAATGTATTAATACAACACTACATCACCTCACCTATGCACTCCTTGCAACCTCTCCAACACCCCTTTCCCGCTCTCTGACCACAACCTTGTCAGTTTAACCCTCAGCCTGTCCCCAACCCTGAATCCACCTACACGGCACACTGTCACCTGGAGAAACCTTCGCCATTTCAACCCTTCTTTTCTCTACCCTGTTCTGCTCACTTTCATCCTCTCTAGACACTTTGGCTCCCCTCACTACACGCAGACGTAGACGTAGACCACGTCCACTACAACCGTGGCAAATTAAAGAAACCAGACATCTAAAAAGACATAGCCACGCTCTTGAACGACTGTGGAGAAAAACTAGGCTTCTGCAAGACTTCACCCTGTACAAAGCTGCCCTCCTAAAATATAATTCCTTCCTCTGTGCTGCCAAACAGACTTATTTTGTCACTCTCATTAACACACTCTCATCCAAACCTCGTCAACTCTTTTCTACTTTTAACTCTCTACAGTGTCCTCCACCGCCCACTAACTCAGGACATTGCGATTCATTTCAAAAACAAAATAGATACAATTCGGGATCAGATCGCCACTGTTCAGTCACCTTCCCCTATTCATGTACCAGATTCTCCATCACACTTGCTACTTTCCTCTTTTGACCCTTTCACCACAGAGGAAGTTACAAAGCTTCTCTCTGACACCCACCTCACCACTTGCCCCCTGGACCCTGTTCCCTCACCACTACTTCAGTCACCCTCTTGCTCTATCCTACACTCTCTTACTCACATTTTCAATCTCTCACTCTCTACTGGCATCTTTCCCTCCCCTCTAAAGAATGCCCTGGTCACTCCAATACCCAACAAACCCTCAATGGACCCTACCGACCTCAATAATCTCAGACCAATTTCCTTACGCCCATTCACCTCCAAACTCCTAGAACGCCTCATCTACATCCGCCTGAGTCGCCACCTCGATGATAACAACCTTCTCGGCTCCTTACAGTCTGGCTTTCACCCCCTACACTCCACTGAAACCGCCCTCCTAAAACTCACTAATGACTTACTAACAGCTAAAAACAACGGCCACTATTCCTTACTCTTGCTATTAGACCTTTCTGCTGCTTTTGACACGGTTGACCACCTGCTCCTCCTCAAAAAACTCCATTCGCTTGGCCTACAAGGCTCTGTTGTGGTTCTCCTCCTACCTATCTAAGCACTCCTTTAGCGTCACCTACAACTCTAACTCCTCCCCTCCTCTTCCTCTTTCTGTAGGGGTCCCCCAAGGCTCTGTCCTTGGACCCCTTCTCTTCTCTATCTACACCTCCTCCCTTGGTCAGTTAATAACCTCACATGGCTTCCAATACCATCTCCATGCCAATGATACTCACAATGTGTAGGACTGCTTGCTTTCTGATGTGTCTCTCCATCAGAAAGTCATGGAAAATGTTGCTGATGGGACACAGTCAGAAAAAGGGGTCTTAACACTTCCTAATCTAAAGCAATAAGACTTGCGTATAGTATAATCAATGTCAAAACATGTTTTTTTTATTTTAGATAGAGTAGGGAATCATTATTTTTTTTTTGCCAAATGTGTCCCATTGGGGACATTTCCCTTACCTGTCTGCCTTCTGGAAACAATAGCAAGTAAGAGGAAATATCTCCAAAGTGAGGAAAATGTCCTGCTAGACATTTGTGACAGTAAAAAGAGTAGGAACATTTTGCCTTTATTCCTGTTCTGATGTTGGATATTACCTCACTTTCCATTCTGGTGATAAAAGGCACAGGACAAATGCCGATCAAAAATCTCCCGATTGGGAACCCATTAGAAAAACTGTAATAAAAAACTTCAGTAGAAAAAAGATTTTCTGTAACATCCAATTGCAGAGCTGTTTAGATCTCAAAATAAATCTTGGTAATGATTTTGTCATAAGATCTTCAAGAGTCAGTGGGAGGCATGCAGTGTCTGTGCCTTCACCCATCACTGACATCCATGACATACTGAAACATGGGTAATGGAGATGGCAGTCATGGTGGTGGTGTTTTGTTTTTTTTTACAAAACGGTGGAATGGTTAGTTTTGATATACATAGCATTTAGCAGAGTTCTTCCCTAAGTCATGTAATCTAGTAAATCAATATTCTTATAACTTAAGAATACAAAACTTGATTGGAATTTATTGCCTTTTTTCATAAGAATTTCCATCCAATTTTGCTGTGCCTTAAGGGTTTACTTTTGTCAAATCGTTGTCACTCAAACACACAAGTTTAAAGAGATTCTGTATTTCATCTTGCTATCACAGTTTTAGAACAGGAAATTATGAAAATGCTGATCTCCTGAACATCTGGTTTTATTCAGCAACGTGAAAACTGGTGGCTGTACATTTCTTTTTTCCCTTTTGAGATCATGTCTTTGCTATGTTCAAATATTTGATGATGCACATCTATATTTTTAGTTAAGTGAACCTTTTCCAGTAAAATAATGATCGGTTGCGCTTGCTTTCCACATTCACCTTTGTCTGTCTGTATTTTAGATTACCACTCTTTATTTTTTCCAGCACCACGGCACTAAATTAACTTCATGGCTCTTGACTGATTAATGGCTAAAGGATTGAATTCTATGTATTTATATAACTAGTGGTTCACAAACCCCATTTTAGCTTCCCCTAATGTTGCTAACAATAGGTCCTCACTTTCCAAACACATACATAACTAAATATTTATCTTAAAACAACTCTGTTCCATAAGCAAGGTTACTTAAAAAGGGGGCCTGCAAAGAAGCAAGTGAACATTTTCCTCCCCTTTATCCCTCTGATGCAGAGAAATCCCTGGCTGAAGCTTCTTCAAAAACCAATGCTTCCAGGAGTGTTGACTCCCGTGTCCTCAGTGGTTCCTTCCGCTGACTCTCACATCAGTAGAGGATACAGGATCCTCTGTGCTGCAATCTCCCCCTCCTCTGACAGGCACAGCCAGTGCAGAGGAGGATTTCTGTACCCAGGATGTAAACATTGTGAGATGCCGCCACCATCATGGAGACGTAAGTACACACAGATATTAGAGATTCTATGCCTGATTAATTTATAGGACTAAGGAGTGAGGTCTGGACTAAAGAGTGTAGTAATTCTTCAATTCTAATTCTATGTGAAGAATCCAGAAGCTCAACACTGAAGGTAAATTCTGAATCAGGCAGATGACAACAGTCATCTGCTCTCATTATAGGGCACCATTTCCTATTCTGCCTCTACTGAATTGCTTTCAGATCAGTAGTGACCAGCTGTGGGAGACATTCATACTCCATGTGTAGGCCTTTGTTCATCAAGCTGCAATATCACTTAAAGGAGAACTATGAGGCGAGTGAAAATCACTCAGCTTCATAGTTCTAGCCAACCTGTGACAATGAAACTGTCACAGGTCGGCTCAATAGAGCGGGAAGTGAGTGAACACATACTGTCGCTCGCTCACTTCTCGATCTATCCATGCAGAGAGCCGTGACCGTCACTCACGGCTCCCTGCAGGGATTCCCCCCTCCCCTGTCCGATCCTCCAGCGCTGACTGGCGGAATGGATGGGGGAGGGGGCGGGTACAGCTGGCTCTGCCTCTAGATAGGCAGAGTCAGCTGTCAATCCCGCAGCTGGGTGGATCTCGACAGTAAAGTCGGGATCCATCCCGGCTGCGGCGTCTCAGTATACCGCGAGCTGTAGCTCGCGGTATACTGAGCTTTGGGTGACGGGAGGACGCTAGCTTGTGTCCTCCTCACGTTACCCTTAGGAGAACTATGGGGAAAAGCCCTAACCCCATAGTTCTCCTTTAAGGTGTGCTAAATAGCTTACAGTAATGCTGGTTGACAGTTCACTATAGCATAATTTAACCTGCTTAAAATATGTTATCACATAACCAGGCCTTTCATTCTGACTGATTGATATCTGAGCAGATAACAGATCAATCGCTTGGTCTAACCTATTCTAGCTGATGAGCAGTCAGTTAATAGATAATGTTACATAGCAATGGCAGAACCATCTAAGCATGATTCATAATTTATGTGTCATTGTCAACAGGCATTATCACAGTATGGATGAGTTCAGTCATTATGACCTGCTTGATGCAAGCTCACAAAGAAGAGTGGCTGAAGGCCACAAAGCAAGCTTCTGTCTAGAGGACACTTCGTGTGACTATGGATACTATAGACGATTTGCATGTACAGCACATACACAGGTGAGCTATTTAACAAAGTATATCTTTTTAAGACTTTCGTTCTGAAATTTGCAAAGTTAAAGTGTATGTATAACTAACCCTACCCTACGTTTGGAGAATGCAGGGTGGGGTAAGAAACCCTGTCAAGTTTTAATTGCTATCTGTGACCTCGCTAGGCAGATTCACCCTTTCTGTTTGTCCTGGGCTCCATTCTCACTAAGATATAAAGTGATGGGAAATCCAAAATTTTCCAATTGTCCTCAGAACAGGAGGTGTGAAAACTGTCTATGAAGGGAGGTCCTCTCAAGAGATTTCCTCTCACTTCCTCTTGGAGGCAGGAAGTGAAGGTGAATCTTCCACATAGAAACAGAAGACACAGACCAATCTAGGCTGTTTATTATGCAAACATAGTTCATCATCCAATAAAAGAGAAGGACAGAGCAAGAGGAATGGAGTACAATATCATCTACAAAGAGGGGGGAGCTGGTTGTTTGCCATGAGTGGCAGTATAGCAAAGGCAGGAGGGGGAGGTTGATGCAGAAAACAGCTCTTCTGTGATGTGCTCGGTGTAGAACTGACCACACACCTGATACTACAATGTCCTGAAGGTAGGGAGCCTAGGAGGGCATGATGTGCTCAAAGGTCTCATTTCAATATTAACTATCAAATGACCAATATAAGTGAAATCTCTTTTGTGCCACAGTTCAGGTTTGTGTGTCCTTCTTTTTTACTAAAAGCTAATGATTTAGCAGAAAATCTAATGGAGAACAAAAAACTGGAAAACATAAAATAATGAGCTGAATGAAATTCAGCCACAAGGTATTTGACAGTAGCAGCTATTAAATAGGCAGATATTTTATCCTATTTTTAGATATCAATTGGAGATTTATTTTACAAACATTTTTCTCACTACTTCTGGGGTTTAACACTTGCCACTAATATTCCCTGAAAGTGATGCATATTATCCTCTGTACATCATACCCCTTAGAGTTAATAAAATATAACATTTATTCAGTCTTTTAAAAAATAGTCTTGTCTTTTCTAGCAGCCTTTACATTTTAAAGACAGAGAGAGAGAGAGATAGGTATTCCTTTTTATATTTTTTATCCCATTTTTTTCTTTATATTACCATGTTTTTTATTTTATCTCTTTCTCTCCTTTAGATGTCAAAAGCTCTTCCTCTTTAACTAATTTTCCCCCAAACACCCATATCCAACATGTTTTGCCAATTTAATTCAATTGGATTTGTGCAGTTTTTACAAATGTGCCCTAGTGCATGTGCTCATGGTGCATTTGCACACACTTTATTTGCACGTGCACTAGGGCACTTTTGTAGAAATTGCACAAATCCCTGATGGTCAATTACATTTGCAAAACATGTTGGATATGAGTATTTAGGAAGATTAGTTAGAGAAAGAGAGCTTTTGGCAAAGGAGAAAAAAAAAAAAAGAGAGAGAAAATAAGGGAAAAATGGGGGAGGGAAACAAAATATATAATGATAAGGAATTACCTCTCTCTATTTTAGATATTAAAGCTGAGCCCCAGGCAAAGCAGTATATATAAACAAAAACCACCCTATGGCTTACCTAAAAGTTGTTCTGTATTCTTCCTCAGTGCCTCATGTATCTAGCAACCCAGCATCAAATTTGTTAAAACAATGCCGCTATCCCTGCGCTTCCATTTCACACAACCAGCTCTCTTCCTTATGCAAGCCTGCCTGTCATTTACTGACCTATTGTAGTCTTAAGTCTCCAGTGCTACTGTGATGAAGATATGTGGATCCTCCTTGGACTTTCTCTGCCACTACAACTCTGGCATTACTATCACCATGACTACAGTCCCATAGGATCATAGGACATGTAGTTTTGTGAGGCACACCTAAGTTCTTTTGGCTCTGCATTGACTAATTTAAAACAAATTGGGGGTTGTTTTAGTTGCTAATGGTGAGGGAACACTGCATTAAAAATTAGACTGTTGCTGGAGTTTAGCTTTAACTGTGAGAAATGTTGCTTTGCTGGTCCTGGCGTCTTGTAGATTTAATGTTAGTAGAAATAATGTTGTAGCCTTTTGCTTTAGAAAAAAAAAAAACACCTTTACTCCTACCTAACTCTTTACATACCTTATGAGATCCACATCAATAGTTTCTACAAAGCTGCAGGCCAAAAAGTGCATGTCATAAATATTCTGTGGTGTTTGACAGAGAAGTAAGTGAAAGCTTTAGAAAGTTTATAAACCCTTTGGACTATCAGTTGGACACTTTGGGGTCTATTCACGAAGCAGCCGAAGGATCTATCCATAGCTTCGGCCAATCCTTCGGCAAGCTTCGGCCCCAGGCTGCTGTACAGGCTATTCACTATAGCCCGTACAGCTCCCGAACTTGGCCGAGCTGCTCAGTCGAGCCGAACGCATATGCCTCGGGTCGGCCGCGCCGTGCTGAAAGCCGACTTCTGACAGCTGGGCGGAGCCAGCCGTGATCTGGCCACTTGCAGAGTTGCTCCGGCCACTTGCAGAGAGATCAGCGTCCCTGGTTACCAGCTAACCAGGGACACTGATCTCCAGACAGCAAACTCTCCCGGGCGCTCCAGGAGTCTCCCAATCCCAGCCGCCAAGGAGAGGAACACTGCTTTTTCTTTTTTTTTATTCTGACACGGAGCCGTTTTGGCCATAGGAATGCATAGCTAGATTCCTATTGCCTATTTAAATTTGCAATAGCCAATAGCAAACTAGCATTGCACCCGTCCTCTGCTGCAGTTCTCCATCAGGTCCACCACTACTGACAGCAGCAGAGGGCGGGTACAATAGCTAGTTTGCTGTTGGCTATTGCAAATTGAAATAGCCAATAGGAATCTGGCAATGCATTCGTATGGCCTAAAATGTTTTTTTTTTTCTATTCTGACTCCGTTTCAGAATAAAGAAAAAAAAAAAGAAAAAGCAGTGTTTCTCTCCTTGGCGGCCGGGATTGGGAGACTCCTGGAGCGCCCGGGAGAGTTTTTTTTTCTTTTTTTGACGGCAGCAGAACCGCCGGCCAATAGAAAACAGTTGGGCGAAGCTAGCTGTCACTACTAGCTCCGCACAATCGTTTTCTATTTTTATTTTTCTACTTTTTCAACAATTTTTCTGTTCTGCTCTGTACCACAGAGGGACAGAGCAGAACAGCCGAGCCAAATGCCGCTTAGGGGCATTCGGCTATTCACTCACTGCTGTTCGGCATCTATAAGAATAGACCGAACAGCAGCGAGTAGCCTGCCGGAGGTTCGGCTTAGCCAATCCAGATGTTGGATCGGCTGAGTCGAACTCCTTCTGCACTTTGGGTCGGCCGAACATGCTGAGCAAGTATACGAAATCTCCAGAGCTCCAGATCCCAGCTGCAAATAGGAAAACCTGGAATAACCTGAAAAGCCAGGTTCTTCCTTATAACATGCTTTACCTTCTGGACCCTCTCCGCCCCTTTGGCTGAGAGTCCTGGGTACCAAGGTCGCCATCCTCCACCGTGGCATTGGCTTACACTGCCACAACCCCTTTAGCTTCTGTAGCTCGCGGTATACTGGGCTTAGGGTGACGGGAGGACGCTAGTTTGTGTCCTCCCTTTACCCTAAGGAGATCTATGGGGAAAAGTCTTAACCCCATAGTTCTCCTTTAAGCAAATAGGTGCTTAATCATGAGCAGCTTCATTTAGGCCGAATGGTTTTTGGCCTCTGAATGATTCATAACACAGCGCTGTACATACTGCACAATTGGACGTAATATATTGTAAAGCGTGCCATCACACTTGAACTGATTATCAGGGGAGGCAAAATGTAAGCTAATCCTGTACTATTGGCAGATGACACAGAGCAGGAGCTGATTGCAGACCCTGGGGGGAGGAAGAAGAGACAGAATAGCAGCTGATTCTGGCAGATGTTAAAATGAGGAAAGGAGCAACACCTGAGCATTGATTATTGGGAAAGATGCCACAGCAGGACTTAACTGCGGATAGGGGAGGCAATAAAGAGAATGCAGAGTGTGAGCTTATTAAAGAACCCAGAGAGAGAAGAGAACTTATATAAAAGTGGAGTAGGACTGAACAATGCAGAGTAAACTGAGTGGGAAATAACTCTGGACCAAATGGAAAATGGAAAAAGGAAGTGAGCCTGAGCATGGTCAGGGGACAGAGTGTAAATTGGTCCTATATGAATGAAGGGAGGTACAGCAAAAAATATTCCTGAACAGGGGAGCAGAGCAGACGTGGAGCTGATGGTTGTTAAAGGGTTGGTTGGTGGGTATGAAGTATGATACAATTAATACTTATGAGAGGTTTGTAACTGTGTCTGATGCAGCTGGCAAAACTTTACACTAGGGCTTTGGAGTGTATTACGTAAATCAGAATCAGTTTATTTCTAACGAAGTTTGGAAATTGGCCATTTATTTTTCACTGGGAGGGGTTGACTTCAGACAATAGCCTCAGTCTCCAGTGTTACAAACCAACTCTTGACTTGAAGTGTAACAGCCAGGGAACCTAGCATAGACTGCTTATACCTAGGTGTAGAACGTTATGGTGTTTAGCATTCCACAAGCTGTAAATATCAAATTGACAAGAACAGCTTTATCCAAGGAAAAGAATGGAGTGTTCTGCAAGTAGAACGACAGGTTTGAAAGAAGGTAAGAGTTACTTGGCTTCATTGAATATGCACATTTTCCTTATGCTGCATGAAACCCCAGACTTTATTTGATCAGAAGCCATTTTTCTATTCAAACTCAGTGCCAAGAATTTTTTTAATCCCTTTCTGTAACAGCATCCACCACGTCTGCAGTGAACCGAACATGTCCTACATTCATCTAAGCTCTATAGCCTAACAATGCCTTCAAACGTGCCTGGCTGCAAATAAACAGCACATCCATTTTTTTCTTTGGAACTAAAGTTTAATATTTCTTTTAGTTCATTCTTAATGTATTTATCACTCAATTGCAAACATGTCAGTACTGTCAGGTATAAGAGGTCTTTGATGATTTCCCTGCTAGCTTTTATTTCCTATTGGGAACTCTAGCTGCAAGATCTCTCTGCCATAGTTTCTAGCTCTGCTTCTGCAAAATAAAGTCTGGACATCCAGCCATACTTGAAAAGGGTGGATGCTAACTTCTAAATTACACTGCAAAAAAAAGGAATTAAAATGAATCTAAAGCCAAAGTTATTTGCACCATTTTAGATGTCTGTAGAGAAGGTTTAGGACTCCTTCCATGCTTTTATTGCTAATGTAAAAAGGTAAAAATTTGCGCTTGTGGATCTCTCTCCCTTTTAACCCAATAGTTGACATCTGCAGTGAGAAAACCAAAACAGATCAAAGATCTTTGGTCAAAATAGCTACAAACAAAAGTGCACCGCGCTATGTCCCCTCGAATTTAACCATTATCCCCAACCTCTAAGAAACAAATATTCAATAGCCAATGTGAACGAAATCACATCGACCGCTGAATATGTTACAGAAATCAAACATAACAGTTACATAACCCCATTGTGTAACAATGAATAAGGAACCTGTGTTCTATTGTGAATATATCAATATTTGTGAATGAATAACACAGTCCAACCAATCAAAGCCCCCTAGTGTTACTCCTTCAGTCCTCCAGCTAATGTTTTAGCATCAATCAATAATACAAATTAATGAATAAATAAAAAAATGTGTTAAAGTTCATATTAATGAATTCATCCAATAAACTGATGCTCCCCCGTGCTCCACCTTCATGCGATATAGAGCTCATAAACACTCACCAGATCCAGCTGATGAGATAGAATGAAAAAGGAATTCCTCTTTCTCTCCCTTAGGGCAGGAACCTCCCACATTTCCAGTGCATTCCAGACCAGGCAAAATGAGGCATGCAGTATTTTTCTGGTCTGGAACAGACTGCGCTGGTGTGAAGAGGGCCAGAAATAGCATAGGGATACATTATTATTATTATTATTATACAGGATTTATATAGCGCCAATAGTTTGCACAGCGCTTTACAATATAAGGAAGACATTACAGTCACAATACAATTTAAGACAAGATGGTAAGGAGGGCCCTGCCCGTGAGGGTCTGGTACCAATCTGGTCTGGTCTGGAGATAATCTGGATGTGGTGTGAATGGGCCCTTAGACTAGTGACAACTTCACATCGCAAACACTGATGTTCTCTCACGATACAATGTTCATCAAATATATTTCTGCATGAAGGTGGAGCATATACTGTGAGAAAAGTTATAACTTTTTACTGGACAGAGAGTTTCCAAATTAAAAACAAAGGGAGCGAGTAAAACTACTAGTGAGTAGTCAGTAGTGGGTGTATCCATAGCATCCGGTGTAAAGTAATCCATGAACAAAAATTAAATGTATTTCGTACTTTTTAAACATATTCTAACTTACTAAAGGTCACACATTGAAACCAATAATTGAGACTAGCTTTGCGAGACTAAAGCTTCCTTCTGTAGGGAATAAAAAGTTGTTATCTACCCCATGATGAAGATTGCATTTAATATCAATATCTGCTCCCATTGGCTATGGTCCTTAAAAAGTGCCAATGTTTTTTCTTTTTATTGCATTTCTTGTTGGTCAATCTTTATGTTCAGCGAGGCTTATTGGAGCCATAGCTCTTATTAGTCTCTGAATTTAGGAATGTTTCAAAATGTATCATAATCATTGATTTTTCCCCCCAGTATATTCTGTATTTATCTGGTGGGTACATTATATGCAGCTCTTAAAATGTACATAGAACCATTTTCACTAAAGTGTTTGTATAGCCAATTTGTTTTTAGTTTTGCATTAGAGTTTTTCATGAACTATTTTTGGATCTTCCAATGTTAGATATTGAAGTTGCAATATGTTCTCACCACCTCAATGTGATCTATCTATCTATCTATCTATCTATCTATCTATCTATCTATCTATCTATCTATCTATCTATCGTGAATGTGTAGACAGTCATTGTGAACATGTTTTCCTTGTTTCAGGGACTCAGTCCTGGTTGTTATGACACCTATAATGCAGATATTGATTGCCAGTGGATTGACATCACAGATGTAAAGCCTGGAAACTATATTTTAAAGGTATTTCAAACAAACCTGGCAGATTACACATGACATTGATTGCAATAGTGGTATGTGATCACACATACAAATCTATTTTTTAGGTCAGTGTGAATCCAAGCTACTTGGTGCCAGAATCTGATTATTCCAATAATATTGCTCGTTGTGATCTACGGTATACTGGGAATCATGTGTACACTTCCAGCTGTACAATTTCTCCGTAAGTATAGACTTTGTATTACCATACTAACAATGTCACATAAAGCATTTATAAGCGTATGCCTTTCAGGAAAACCAATTACATGTACTTCTTCCACAAAGCATCTGCTACCCAGAGCTGATGTGGCGCAATATAGCACAATATAGTGGTGGTTCTAAAACTGTGTTTATTCCATTATGCCACAATCTCTGTTACACAAAGCAGTGTGTAGGTGGATGACTTTTGACTATGGTATAACCCTGTTACTACATGTTGTTGTAATGCAGTGTTATCTAAACTCATGCCCAAGCATCACCAATGGGTTTTATTGAAGCACATAGTTAGTTCTAAATAAGGAACACCTGAGAATTAAAACAAATATGGTATGTTTGAATTAGAAGCTTAGAATATACTGTATAGAACTAGAACATAGAAATGTTTTTGTACAAGGAACAATAATATGACAGATGAACATTTTTCTGCAGTGAACCTCCATAAATAAATATATACAGTACATGATGTACATGATTTAATTATTACTTGCATGCAGACCCTGTCGCCACACCCTTCATACCACACCACACCATTTCAGCAAGAATTTTCCCATAAGATTATATGTGCATTTATGGTATTTTATGCATGTTACCTACTTGAAGAAGCCACCCTTGGGTAGACGTCCAAAATCCCTGAGGGTGCTGCTGGGCACCACCGTTTTAACTGTGACTTAGAGTTGTCATTAAAGTGACACTGTGAAGTGTTTTCCTTCATTCCTACCAAGCCACTACATAAAAGATGATATAGGTTAGTGAGGGGCTGAGGAGATGGGCCAGCACTTGCAGAAGAGAGGGCTGTGATGTACAAGGAGAGAGGGGCTGTGATAGGGAATTCACTCTTCTTAGAATATTCAGAGGCACATTACAAGTGAATAAAAAATGATTTTTTTGGAATGGAACAATAGTGAAAGTAAGCATTTACAGTAATTGAGTTTTCCCTGCGTTTACCTGCAATTTGCAATTGGTAACAAGGTCACTTTAACATTGTAGAATTATTTGTCCAACTAAAACATTTTTGTTTTGAAAAGTATATGCATTGGAATCTTACTTAGTTTTTGCTGATCTATGTTTCCTATCACTTCCTTTCCAAGGAACAATTTTATCACCAGAACCAGAAGTGAGGACAATATCTAAGGGGGACATAGGCAGCAATGAAAACGCTATTGTAGGGGAAGGATAGAATCCCCCACCAGCTTGTATTGCTGTACGTGCCCCTGTAGTATATTTCCTGTCTGAAAGACATGTCACCAGCAAAGGAAATACAGGGAAATCTGCCACATATGGCCTAAGACAGCAGTAAAACCTGGTATATGTACCTACCTGTCCCCTTTTCTACCAAGTTTTGTTGGAGTTAAACTTTGAGAGGTGCTTTGCTATTAAATAGAATAATATATTCTATGTTCCTTTCATGCAGAGTAGATATTCCTAAGTGAAAGAACAGCAGAAGTCACTGACAACTATTCTTTACCTTTCTGCTATTCAGTTGCTATTTACAATGGACAAAGCAGCCACCTGCTGATTTAACTTTAAAGTACTGTTAGTGATACTTGAAGCTCGCTGTTTTATTTCTAAATGAGGCAGTGTAGCATGTCCTTTTGAAAATGTAAATAATATTTGACTAGGTTATTATATACATACAAAAAGAAAAACCTTTTGCAAATAAAATTAGATTTTGACCATTCTAATTTTTATGCAAAACATAGTAGCTGACTAGAAATGAGGGCGGCCATATCAAGCTGTTTTCCAAATTGCAGAGACATGTGTAGCTTTTTTGTTGATGGAAGGCCTTAGCGTTCTGGTAGGTCTGAGAGTGTAACCAAGTGAAAGTCATTGAAGAACATTATTCTATTGTAACAGAATGAGGCATAGACAGGCTTAATGGGTTCACTTTTCAAATCCAACAAGCAATATATTTCATTCTGTCTGGTTCAGATATCTTTTAAAGATTTTCCTGGATGCTCTCCAGCTACAGTAATATGCTTTGTCTGCTGTAAAGATATTCTTTCCTCTGACTCACTCCTTCCAGATTCAGCTATAATCACTTCCCTGACCAGTACTATTAGGCACCTCTCTACAAGAAGAAATGTTGCAAATTCTTTCGAACGTTAATAAAAACTAAAGCTGGCCCAGGATTCAGTGGCAATAGGGTTCCTATACTGTGAGAGGTAGAGTGTAGATTAGAAGATACAGCTCTGATATACATCGTGGAAAAATTTTATGGCATACTTGAACTCCAGAAATAACTTGATTATAGTGATATTTCAAACTGTTTTCTGTAATTAGTATAACATGTTTTCAATCTTGTAATCAGTCAGTCTCCTTAAATCGAGAAAAGTAGTAACTGTTTGGTATTATTGTTGTCACCACAATCAGCATGGACCAGAGATAGCAAATGCAAATAGTATTGAGACGTTGAAGGTCAATGGGAGTGTTTTATTATTGAAAATATTCTGTTGATTTAAAAATCCAAAGCAAAGTTTGATTTTTTTATTCGGTCAGTTTCAATTTATTTCAGAGAAAAGTGTGGGTACCAACACATTTGTCAACATGTGTGTATAAATTAGGGATGCACTAATACTGTTTTTTTTGGTATCGAGTTCCGATATTTATATTTCGGTACTCGACGATACTGAGTACCAATACCAGCACTTCCGGTAGCATTGAGCCGGCTTCTTGGGCAATCAGGAAGCCCGGGCAGCTGGCTCCATGCTGTTTGGTCAGCTCGATGCTTATTGGCCGGAAATCCGGCTTCCAAATCCAATCAGCATGGAGCCGAATGTTTGGCAGGCTAGATGCTGATTGGCTGGGAAGCCGGCATCCCAAGCAATCAGCATGGAGTTGGCTTCCCTGCCAATCAGGAAGCCAGGAGGGGGGCCATTACTCTCTGGACAGGTTCGATGCTGATTCAGGAATCCGTGCAAACAGCATGGAGCCGGCTTCCCGTCCAGTCAGGAAGCTGGGCTACGAGTCATTACCGGCGGCCTGGCTTCCTGATTGGCCGGGAAGCTGGCTCCATGTTCCCTCGTGACACTGCCAGTCAGAGACAATCTTCCTCTGACTGGAAGTTCCGGTTCGGGGGTAATTATTGGAGCATTTGGACAAGTACGAGTACTCGCCCAAATACTCGATATCAATGCATCCCTAGAATATATATATTAGATGTGTCGGTCCCACTTAACATACATTCTTGATTTTTTTTTTACTTACCTGTCTCCTGGAGGAGATGCAGGGCACCCTCTTGAAACAAGTATAGTCCACTGAATGGCTGTTTGGCAGGAAGGCAGAGTGTTGTCAGCAGTGACAATGCTGTAGTACATACAGTGCATGGCACTTAGTGTTGTTTCCCTGCGAAAAAAAGGCCTGGCAATATTACCAGGCTTTTATTAGAGAAAAGAAGACGCAGGAGGTATAGATGTCTATTTGTGTAATTGTATTTACACTACTACATTTTAATATTTTGTATAGTTGCACTTCAAAGTGACCCTGTCATTAGGATCATGGCTTAATCTAAATCCACCCTCAATAAGAACAGCATATATACTTACCTTTCTGGCAGCCCATATAATACAACTCCACCATGTTGTAATTTCCAGCCATATGAGCTGGTGAGAGGAACCACAACGTGCAACAGGAGAGCGGGTATTTTACCCTGAGTACCTGAGATGAGCATCGCTGATGTATCTTAATATACTATAATCAGGAACACTCAGGCAGTTTTTAGTTGTGTAATAGTGCAACTAAAATGCCCATGACCAGGTGCCTACTTTGGGACATGTCAGGCAATAGTCACAAATATATGTTGGATTCTAGTAGCATATTTATGTAAGAAATTGCAGGATTTCAATGGCTAGAGGTGCCAATGGCTAGATTTTTGCCAGTTGCAGTACATGCAAATAGTTTCAGTTGATTTTCAATTTTTTTTTTATGGTGGTCATATTTATGGTAAAGACACAATATGGACACTGAATCTAACATTTCACAAAATAAAAGATGCTTCAGCTCTAATGCCACGAAAGTTCAAGGTTGCTGTACACTACCCAAAATTTGGCATCAGTGCAACCTGTTGATGTGAACCAAGCACATGTAGGTATCTGTGCTCGCACAGATTTGAAAGTGTAATGGTGTGACTACTCTTTGCTACACAGGGAAACAGCACTTTACTGCACTGGCATGAGAAATTGCAGCAAGTCAGGTGGGCTCTGACTAGGACTTCTGGATCTTGTTATTGGTCTTGATGTGATCTTAACCTCTGTGGGTGTCCATGGTCTATAGCCCATCTAGTTCGGCAGAATAGACTGAAAATTCACTGAACATTTTGTTTTCACTTCTGCCTAATCAGCATTTTACAATATGACCATCTCTAAATTGTTTGCCATGTAGAAGGGATAATATTAGCAAGAAAGGTCTCAAGTCTTGTAGACACATCTGGAGGATTTATATTAGCTAATTGCATATAAATGTGGGTGGCTTCCAGCAATCCCTCTGCTTTCACACAAATATGGCATCTTTCAACAGCCAGATTAGAGAAATTTATGCAGCTGGAATCTTGGTGAAGCAGATTTTATTTTGCAGAAACAGTTCACTACTTTTCTGTTCTCCAGTTTAAAGAATACTAATGTTCATTATCCCTTCATGAAGTTATACAAAACAATGGTAAAGAAAATCCAGGAAAGGTTTGTTTTTCTTGAGAAAGAACTAAAATACACATCATCTTTCTTCGTGTCCAGTTTTTGCTAAGTTCCATTGATCACAGGGAGGATAAAAACGTATGCAACAAACAGGTAACTAACCAATGATAGGTAACAGGTAAGTGAACACATAATATAGGCAAGCCAAACATTATTATTGAAAATGAGCATGAATAATTGCTCTCCAACACTTGATTGCGGTTTCCATGGGTTGTGGATCATAGGGCAGTTTTAATGATGGTTGGTAAAAACACTGGAAACTTATGTTGGTAGTTTGTGGTATAATAAGTATATAGGTATCAATGACAGGCTTTCTGCAGTAACTCCAAAGGTCCATGAAGACTACGAGATACACTTATTGTGGGGTTCAGTAAACTGTATTTGCTACTCCTGGCTAACAGGAAAGAATAAACCGTAGGGATGCACCAATACCAAGTACAGTACTCGGTACAAGTACAGATACTTTTCGAGCTCCAATACTAGACTAGAAAAAAATTCAAAAGTTAGGAGGCAGCTGTCATTTGTAAGGAGCACACGGAGCTCCTGGGATTAGCACATCTCTGTTTTAATGTATGATTTTGTTTTTATAAATAAAGAACCGATACTAGTTTTGCGAGTACAAGTACTGGTACTTGCCCAAGTACTTACAAGTACGAGTACTGACACATTTTTGTTTATTGTCATGTGAGTTTTTCTAAAACAATATCGACTAATGATTTCAGGACAGTGGTGGAGCGCCAGAGCCAGGTCCCAGCTGCAACCCTGGTAGTTCTCATGAAAATGCCAAGTATCGGTGCATCCCTAGTAAACAGGACTGGGGAGTAAAGTAATAATTTTGTTTAGATGTACTCCGAAGTACCAAGTAGGCTTTTATGGTGATTTTACCAGTCGTTGACTCTTGAAGGTATTATAAGTATAGGCACAACTTTTTCCCCGAAAGGGACTAAGTGTAAGTTCGATTTCCATGAACAAAGACAGTGTCCTTAAAATGAATGTGCCTGCTGGCAAGAACAAAGCAAATTCTCTTGCAAACTAACTCAGTTCGATCAGTTTGTGCTACATTTTGCCAGATAGTTTCCATAATCTGAAAACCAGCATTACCGCTTGTTTAAACACACATGGTCCTGATGCCAAACCTCTAGTGACATGTTACTTATTTTATTCAACAAATTGTACAAATTCCAGACAGTTTTTCAAGTGTGCAATTTCCAGACTGCTTGTGAAGTGTGCAATAACAATACTGGAAAGTAATCTGTTCTTTCTTTTCACAGTTATTAAACTGCAGTGAAGAGACCATTTAAAGATGCAATTTGTTTTGGAGTTCAGAAGTTGTTAAATTCGATTAGATGTAAACACTTTTCAATGGAAGCATATGGACTTTGACAAGACCATAACTGGATTTTAACTATGTGTAACAAAGTTGGCACTATTATTTGTATTCCATCTAGATTATTTGGTTGTTCTGTGTATGAATAATGCTATGTTCTCCTGGTCAAGACACTTGGCATGCAAAAGGACAAAGCATGCAAAAATGAAGTACTATACAAACAACATAGTACTTTATCAGTCCCGAGCCTGGGGTTTTAAAAAAGTAAACAGATCAAGGTGCAATTGTTGGTATTCAAAAGTCTTGTATACAGAAATGAAGCTAGATATACCAAGATGTTTGAAAATAAACAAGAGTATGTGTTGTATTAAAATGAGCAGTTTGAATAATGTGAATAACTTTAAAAGCCTCATAAAACTAAAAAAGATTATATAAAAGTACATGTAATACCATTCACAAATATCTATGTTAAAGTGTATAAATGTTGGGGTGTTCTGGCATTGGAGCGATGTACTTTAAAAAGCTGTGTAGCTTAATATTCAGTTACCATCTATTGTTAGCTTAAGGCTGGGTTCACACCTAGGCGTATCGAATATGCGCATTTGTCACTCGTTTTTACAGCAATTCGCGGTAAAAAACGCGCAACAAACGCGCGTTTCCGAGGGTTACCTGGCTGTATCCCAATGGATACGAGCGGGAAATACGCCCCCCCAAAGAAGCTCCTGGGTTCTTTGGGCGTAGGGCGTTTTGCAGCTCGTTCCTTAGCGCTGTAAAACGCCCAGGTGGGAACCATGCCCATAGGCAATCATTGGTTTTCACATGTTGAGCGCTTTACAGAGCGTAGGAACGCGCTGCGAAACGCCCAGGTGTGAACCAAGCCTAAGAGTACGCACCAAAAACTGCCTTCAGTGTCTTACTTGAATTGGGCTGCAATACATCTAAAGGATTTTACCATAGATCTAAAGGCAACACACAAGCAATTTTAAAAAGATTGGGGAAGCGTTAAATACCTGGTAACATTTGTATTGCTGTCTAGCCCCAACTTGACCATGTCACAGAGTCAAAAAGTCACAGGAGATCCACAATGTTACAGGTGTGACAAGTATGGGAGGTGAAGAGAAATCTTATAATGGATTTGCCCCAGTGACAACTGCCCTGGAGGGGATTCCCTCTCACTTTCTGTTGTGTCTCAGGGACAGGAAGTGAGGAAATCAAAGAGCTCACAGAAAAAAAACAAAAAAAAAACACCCCAAAAAACCTGAAAGCGTCTTTTTACTTTTCCGAACTCATCCAAAATGAAATGAACTAGATAAGTAAATAAAAAGGTTTGCTTATACTTGTTTTTTTTTCATGGCCTGCCTATTTTTTATTTTATGTCAAACATTTTAAAGTGTTCAGTAGTCCTATTAAAATGAAGATTGCTTTCATACTGCATTAGGTCCATAGAATTAGCACATCTACTACGCATAGGAGAGCCTGCCATATGCTACTTGATCTGATCGGTTTTATTTTGACAAACTTATTAGCCTACTGTTTTTATTTGGTTCTGTTCACTCAAATAAGATCATTCAAATGTAGGTCAGTAGTTAGAAAAAAAAAAACTCAGTTCTGACTTTTTGTTTTTTTACTTCTTTCAAGTAGACCTAAAAGTCTTGCCTCTGTTTCTCTAATTTATGGGGTTGGTTGCTCCTGTAAGTCAGTTCCGTAGGAAAATAAATAAGTCATGCCATGTTCCCCCTTGCATTAAAGCACTTTTCAAATATCTTTGGTCTCACCTAGTGTCAAAACAAAAAAATAGATTCATCAAAATAAATGTGGTGCTACTGCACACAGATATAAGACTGAAAGACCACTAAACAGATTGTTAATGAGACTGCTCGTCCACTGCCCATCACTAGAGAGTGCTGGCATTAAGCCTCAAGTGAAGTAAAGATAAAAATAAAAAAATTTTTTTTTGTTTTTTTTTAATCACCTCTAGGAACTTTGATTGTGAAACCCTGGTTGACACAGCATGCAGATTAAAAAGTCATGACTCCTTATCTGCTTGTTTCAGGTCTGTGCCTCATAAAAATTAAAACTATTGAATCAAAATAGCAGCAACTAGGCATCAGTAATGGCAGACAACATATTCTCTCAGTAGAGGTTTGCTTTAAATAGAGGCCAGGGCTTGCACTCCATTATTTGCCATATGGACTGTTCTAATCTAAAAGCATTTTGGTTGATTCATTACTGGACTCAACTCCCTGCCAGTACACAGATGTGTGCCATTGTGCTTTAAATGCAGGGATAGATTCTTATCTCCCAACTGCAAAGGCATATTTTAATTTGCAAATCACACAAATTAAAAAGGACACTACTGAAATAAGGCACTACTGTAATCTAAATGGATAGGACTTTATGAACGGGAGGCTGCTAGGTATTAAAACTTGTATTATTCAGATTATGCAGTTAAACTCTGGGACTAGGGTGTCATTTTTATCAGATGTAATCAGTGTATGGGAATGGTTATCCTGTCTGACTGTGACTTTTACTGATGCTGATGGCCACAGGATTAGACTAGGGATGCACCGATACTGATACTTGTATTGGTGCCGAAACCGAGTATTTGGGTGAGTACTCATACTCGCCAAATTGCTCCAGATGCCTATCCCAATACCGGAACTTCCAGTATCAGGAAGCAGGGTGGCAAGTCATTACAAGCTGCCTGGCTTCCTGTTTTTCTTCATCAGTAAGCCGGGGGTCGAGCCATTACCCGCCCCCCGGCTTCCTTAATGGGACTTCTGGTATTGGAATTCGGTATCGGCGAGTAGCGAACAAAAAACATCGGTGCTCATACTCGATACCGAAAAAAACGGTATCGGTGCATCCCCAGTTTAGACATATATTAAAAAATCATCTATGCACCATTAAAGACAAGAGCTGTTTGCAAAAGGACACAAATGTAAACATATTTTCCAAATCTTTAGTAGTGAAACTGCTACTATGCTGGATTGACAGTTATGTCAGCTATAAGCCATCTATCGGCTCTCTTTCATATACGTGGGTTTTTGAAACATGATCCAAATTAGTCAAATATGGATAAAACTGATAGTATGGCTTTAATCCATAAAAAGGAAAATAAAGGAGAATGGGATCCAATTGATATGAAAATGTTTCTACACTTAGTAATAGCTCTTTAGGAGCCATGGAGCACTATTAAGGCTTTCTGTTGATGGGCTCACTTCAAATGGATTTTGCATTCCCATACAAGCCTATTGGAAAGCAAAACCTGCTTGAAGCACATCAACTTCAGGTTGGAAGAAGGTGAACTGCAGGTCAAATGCACCTTCAAATGAATCGTGAATGATCTCATAAGCCCAATGCCCCTTGGCACAGGCCCTTAGTCTTATTAAAATAGCTAAAGAGAAATTCAAGTGCAGTGGATGTCGTTCAGCTGTCTGATCCCAGCAAATTCTGTCTGGCTGCTACAAGCACATCAATATGGTTTTAGTATTGCCTGGGTAAGCTCACCTATAAATGGGCATGGGGACTACTTCAAGGGGGGTTTAATACTTGGGTGCTACCTTGCACCATGATTCCATTGTTGGCAGCACACAAGATGAAATTTGACAATACCCTATTATTATCATCGATATTTTACTCAACACTAAATGCATAGTCTTAAGGAAACTGATAAACAGAAAATGTGAAGGGATTGCCAATGCTATACACTACATAGTTTTTTTTTTTCCATTAAGGAAAATAGGCTTTTGCAATGGACATTTAGCAAGTACAGTAATTGGATTTACCCTTCTGCTAGGTGTTGATTTAAGGTCAGTTCATTGAAGAATGAGTAAGTTTAAAATGCAAATTGCATGCAATAACAATTCTTGTTTATGTTATTAAACAGTCTTTGCAGGAAACAGAAGTGTTGAACTTCTCGATGAGGTTGTGGTGTCAACGGAACATTTTATGTTATTATTGAAAAGACACAACATTGTCATGGTGTATATTTTCCATGAAAGTGTCTTAAAAGGTGCTGAATTGTAACTTGAATTTAATCCATAAAAGCCTATGCTACTTAAACAGAGAAATATATATGTGTACAATAGATTCTGTGAAACACAGTTTGGCTTTGCATTTCTTTTTCCTTTGCTTGTGAAAAAAAACAAACAAACTTTGGAACTCTGACATCCAAAAGTCTCTTATTTATAACACTGGCTATATGTCTTTTGATATTTTCTTATTGAACGTTTCATGTTTCTGTTTTGCCTGCCTCTACTCCAATTGCAGATTCTTGTAAAAATGACTTGAATAAAATGCTTCAAGTTTTTCACGTGTAATACAAACTGAATGTGTGCAAAACTATGTGAATCGAGAGCTGCTTAGTCTTTTTCATGCTCAGATGCCAAGTGTCTTTGTGTAATTTTGCTCTCATTCTAGAACCCAGAAAAGGTGTGGTTCTCAGGAGCAGCCATTTGAATTTGACCACCTGGATAACTCAATGACCCTAAAAATGTAATTCTTACACTACTTAGATAGATCCTAAAATCACAGCTTAGGCAGTGACAAGGTTGTTTAGTATATTCTACATTGCAGTTAGGGCATATTCATTTAGGCACAGGTTGTGGAAGAGTAGATGCAATTGATCTTTATTTTAGGGAGGGACACAAATCTAAAGCTGCATTAAGACTTAACACTGGTCTGAAAAGCGGGGTGTACAGCAGGCTTTACAAACTATTGAAAATGCTTTCAAAGTAATATTCTGCGTTTCCATTAGAACATGGCTGCAGCAGGCCCCATCAGGTAGGTTGATGTCCTGCCCAGTGGTGCCTACATTGCTCTGACATTAAAGTTTTTGTTCTGGCCAATTTGGCTCCACATATATTTTCTGTCTTAGTATCAGGGAGTGCTCGACAGGTCATGATTAAGACAGCCCTGTTTTAGGTTCTAGGATATATAGGGCCTTGGGGTAATTTCACAATTGTTTTTATTTTTTATTATTTCAGCATATTACACTGCCATATGAAGAAACACACACATGCACACACACCAGTGCCTGTTAAAGCAATAATTTCTTGACCAACCAGATGACTTCTGGACTGGAGCAGAGAACACGCAAGCAAACACATAACAATAAAACTACAAACAAAAAAGCTCAATGTGGAATTAAATCAGCGACTCCAGCACAGCAAGACAGCAAAGCTAACCGCAGTGCTCGTCACAAAATAAACACACTTATTATAGTACCGTTTGCTGTCAGAGATCTTTACAAGTATGCTGATTATGCAGTAAAAGGGCAATGGCCACTGTTCTATTCAAACTCTGTTTCTCTATACTGCCGATCCCTGGAAGTTTTGTAAAGCCAGATCCTTAATGTGTATGGAAACAATGGATTTGTTTGCTTTTGGTCTGTTAAATACCAATACGTTTTTCTTATATCTGTTCAATAACTGCAGAAAATACTTGTTGATCATGTCAGAAATTCAAAGCTGTTCCTGTGCATTCCTCCATTATTATATCAGGGCATCTAATCAGCCCTCCCAGTTCTTCCCTTAGACTACAAAACACATCTCTCTATAACCTTGACCGGGCATTTCGGCCTGGATCATCAGGTATTTTTCTGTACTTGCTAAAACATGGGAAAATGCATGTTTTTTTTATATTGCCCTAATATACACTAATATAACTTATTGCCCTAATATACACTACAAAAAAAATGACAGAAATAAAATGTTACCATGCCATAGTTTACTGGGTACAGACACAGTGACTTTATAAAAAATATACAGTTTTGCAGTGTGTGTAGAAGGGTTATAACCTCTGTTAGCTTTTCTTTGATTCTTCTTTCCTAGTGACCCCATTATATTTGAACAGTAATCTTCCCAGTAAAGATAGAGTCCTATATAAACCTGACAGAGATTATAACCCTTACTTTTAAAGCGGCAGAGACACAATAGCTACATAGAACAAATTAAACAATAAAAACAAACAAGGGCGAGCAATTGTAATCTTTCCTCAAAATACCTAAAACTACAAAAAAAAATAAAAAAAACAACAAATTTTGTCTGGAATTTCGTTTTAATTGATAAAACCTAATCATCAAAAACAATCTTCTTCCCCTGGAATACTGCAATCTGAGACTGCTCTTTGCGTTTTTTGCTGGCCTCCCATGAAGGGTGAAGAGCTGTCTCTGGTTTACTCTGTGACTTCCACGCACTGTTTCTGGCAGCTTGAGGTTTCTTCACCAGTTTTGGTGCCTGTGGAACAACTAAACAGAACAAGACCATTACAGATTATGCAAGGCATTTAAAGAGGAACTTCACCCAAATTGTGAACATTTAAATAAAGGCACCAATAAAAATGTAAAAATAGAATATTACTGTAAATGCAATCTATTGCGTCTGTGTATGGTTTTAAGCTATCAATTTCCCTGGCCATATCCTGGAAGCTGTTTGCAATAAGGGCTGAGAGCTTAAAAGTATCCACAAACATTATAACCTGCATTTAACTGTAGACTTCTGTTTTTATACTGGTACAGTACAACATTTAAATTGTGTATTTACTAGGAAGACACAAATAATCATTTGTCTTTTAGTTCTTGCTATTCTTTGCCGCCCCTCTTGATGGTGCCTTGGAATATCCCAAACCTGCACACTCTGCCCTCTAGTTGGGTAATCATATTTTTCTACACCCTGCCATGGTATTGGCAACATGTAAATAATATGATTCTGTAGGTAGAGTGATGGGGTGTGCACATGTTGCCATGCATGTGCATCTAATAGCTGTTAGTATGTTTGAACTATGATTCCATGCCTAAAGTGCTGGGCTCACACGTGGAATTGTGGTGTATGTGCACTCGGCGCTCTAGGAGCGGGATACATGACTTTACAAAATATATATCAAATGTTCTATATATTTGTATACATTACGTGAACTAAAACAAAGACTTTCAGATTATCTCAACTTGTAAGAATACAGTGAAGGTTTTTTCTACAATTGTATTCCATCCCAATAAATATTTCTGCTTTGAAATTAAACAATTGTAGGAGATAGTAACCTTCAAATAAAATAATTCATCCATCTCTGTCAATAGAACCCAATATTGTCTAGAAAACCATCCCCTTTAAATATGCCATGTGAACCAGCAGACGGATGAATCTACTTCCCTGGCAATGGACTGCTTCGATGGAAAATTGTGCTAAGAATCCATGTCTTCCACACTCAGCCTAATGACCTGTCGGGCCGTACACTGTGTGCGTGACGCTACTACAGCTGCCAGTGTGAACTAAAAAAGTAAATGCAGCACAGTATCTACTGATGTGCAAGATAACATCCATTACATGGTGCCTTTTATATACAATTAATCCAGCAAAGTCTGTTTGGGTGATAGAATAGCTGTAATGGCATTAACATAACATATTATTGTGTTCTCTTATCTCATTGTTTTCATTTCTTTCTTGAAGAAAAAACATACATTTTACAACATAAAATTGTAAAAAGAAAACTAGATGTACGGGTCTCTTTAACTATTATGCATTAAAAACAGGGAGTTGAAGAGAAAAGTGAACTAGGGTAGTCTAATGAGGTAGGTTATGCAAGGACTGAATATAATTGCTGCCTAGAAAAGCGATAACACAATTCACCCATAGGCATGACTAGCTCTGAGAAGATGAGCAAAGATTGCGGATGCATAATGACCAGACTCTGGTAGAGCCACTTCATCGTTATAATTAAGTTGGCCATACAATTTCAGATGGTTCTTAATGTATTAACTGAAATTTGCTATGTGGGTGGCCCTGTCAGCAGCCTTCTGCCCGACATCTTTCGATCTGATAATTAAATGAGATGGGCAGAAAATTGTCAGCTGAACAGTGACTGCAGCCAATCAATTCACCTCAGCTTTTACCTCAGATAAAGTATAAATAATAGTTATCGTTTTGTGTGTTCATATAGTACATTTAATGAAGTTTAACAGTGTAATTCTTAATCCTTAAGGTAAGCAAGTGACATTCTGTAATGCAGTTTTGTGTGAATGAAGTCATAAAAAGAACGAAACTATCATTCATCTAAAAAGGCTTTCTTCCTCTTCTATGATTTTGACTCACTGGGGATAATGTGAGACCATATTTAACATTAAACAAATCTACTTTCAAGTATTTCACACCGTAAGCCAGTCATAAGCTTAGACTTAATGTGAAACTCTTTTTAAATGACTGTGTACTCAACATGTCATCATTGCCCTGGTTGCAAGGCAACGACATTTGAATGATTCTGGCAGTTTTAGAAAATCATAGCATACATATCAAGAATAACACAGTATGCAAACGTACCTGCTGTCTTACTCCATACAGGAGGTAATTTCGTCTCTCTGAAAATAAAATGTTATTTGTTAATGTGATTAGAAGACAAGCCTTAATAAACAGTAGTATCCAGGTAGCCAATTACAGCTGGTATCTAACTTTTTTGAGAACTTTTTCTACTGTTCTAAAAGGAAGCACAAATATCAGATGGTACCATAAAATAGCTTTTCGGCTACTAGATTGGAAGACAGAAAGAGTGGACCAAAGTTTTAAGTAAAGTTTTGAATAACCTGTCCATGATTATGTCAAGTAATAGGAAATATTAAAAAATAGTCACAAATCATGTTAAATGTCTAAAAAATATAGTATAAAAAAAACAAAACACATCAAAAGTGACATTAAAGGAAACCTTTCCTGAGAGAGACATGGAGGCTGTCATTGCTGACTTCTCACCTTGTAAGTGCTAGCATGCTAACCCTCTGGCCTTAATTTTGACTAGGACTATGCCAGAATGTGTATGCAGATGAGGGCTCGTGACTATCTTGACTCTTTGAATAAGCATACTTATTAGGAACAGCAAAAGCAAAGAAATAGCAGCAGAAACAGGTAGCTAGCATTTTTAGAAGCTCAGACATGGCACCCCCCTATTTTACTTGGGAAAGGTTTCCATTAAAGCTGGCAAAAAAACTGACAAACATTGCTTATATAAATATATATCTATATGTAATATGTAAAAATATATGTTACAAATGTCTGCAGCACAGTGTTGTCTTATACCATTAAAAACAAGTACACCTGAGCCACTACCCAATTTTTTTCCGTAAGGAATAATTACTGAAAGACTAATATAGATCATTCCCCATTAATACTGTATCTTACCTCTTCATAAATGATGATTTACGTTTTGTATCTGATAAGGAACTGCAAAAAACAGACTCTAGTTTTGCAGTCTTGGGAGCAGAGTTCCCTTTCTGACACTCTCTACCTCCAGCTGAGGGTTTTGTGGTGTCTGTTGGAAGCTTCTCTTTTTCAACTTTATCCTCAGAAGAATTTTTGCTTGACTTTCTTTTCTTTGTTCGTCTCACTTTTCCTATAAAAAAGTCATTCTCACCGTCACTATCACTGTCCTCAAATCCAGAGCTCTGCTTATAAAACCTTTCTTCTGTACTGTCATCAAAATATTCCTTGTCTTCTTTGTCAGAGTCCTCAATATCACTGGAGTCAGAGCCAGATTCATTTACAGGAGTTTTCTTTCCAAGTCTACTTTTATTCTCAATTTTATTTTCTAATGCTTGCTTCTTTGGGACGCCTGCCCCTGGTTTTCTTTCAGCTGATACTTTAGGGGTTGTTAATGATGCTGGCTTCTCTGGGACAACCTCTACTAATTTTCTTTCAGGTGATACTTTAGGTACTGAGAGTGAAGCTGGCTTTTGACCATTCTGAGAACCAAGAGCATCTTCCTTGTATCTCTGATTGCAAGCAACAAGATCAGTCTCTTCATGTATTCTTTTACACGGAAGATTGTGCAAAGATTCGGCCTCTGGTTTTGTGGCCTCTGGTTTTGTGGCCTCTGGTTTTGTGGCCTCTGGTTTTGTGGCCTCTGGTTTTGTGGCCTCTGGTTTTCGGTTCTGCTTTGTTTTGTCCTTACACTGTTTCTTGGTGTTTGTCTTCGCAATCTGTGCAGGTTCATCAGGCTTGGATGTTTCTTCTGATTTATCCTCCTGCTCTTCAGCATTTATTCTGGCTTCTTTAAAAGCTTTGATAGCATCTTGAAAAAAAAAAAGGATTAGTAGTGTTATAAATGCACTTAAAGATACATGTATATATATGGAACAAACAAACCAACCAACCAACCATTTTCTGTTTGAAAATGCTTTAAACTGAAGAAAAGGGGCAACAACCAGATGCCCCATATTATTGTCCAATACCTAAAAATAAACATGCCACAAAAACACTGGCTATTGGAACCTTTTTAAAGAAAGGACTCCAGAATGTATTAAAATTACCCCTTAAAGTGGGGCCGTGGCGCCCTTCGCTGCACTTTCTCCAGTTCCACAACATCCTTTTTGTGAACTGGTGACCAAAACTGAACTGCATATTCCAGATGAAGTCTTACTAATGCTTTGTACGGGGCAGGATTAGGTCTCCATCACTGGAGTCTAGACCCCGTATAATACAAGAAAGTATTTTGCTTGCTTTAGAAACTGCAGCTTGACATTGCATGCTATTGTTCAGTCTATGATCTACCAGAACACCCAGATCTTTCTCCATCATTGACTCCCCAAAACATACTCCCCCTAGAGCAGTGGTTCTCAACCTGTGTAACCTTAGGACCCACATTTGTCTTTGGTCACCAAGTCATGACCCAAATTGCACTGCAGTGGAACGCGTGACATTGCAGTACCGCGCGTTCCAATGCGGGCAGTCGAACTGTGGGTGAGAGATGCGTCTGGGGTGCCATGCAAATGCACCTCTCACATCAGAACACGTGGTAGGTGCAATTGCATTGTACAGTGTGTTAATCGTACAGGACAGTGCGATTGACGCACTGTACTAGTGTGAATAGGCCCTTAAAAACATTGACAGACACACAGAACCACTCACACACTCATACGCACTTCAAAAAAAAAAATGCAATTTTTTTTTAGAATCCACCCAGTCTCCCCATCTTACGAAAACTGGAGTGGATCCTCAGTCTGGGGTCCAGTGTCAGCTGCTATGCTGGAGCTCCATCCATATGTGCATTGCTTGTATAGCTCCCCTGCACACCCTGTAGAGGTTCCAGGAACCAGAATGTTACATCACTCCGGTCCAGGCACCTCTACAGGACATGCGACGGAGCTGTAACTAATGCACTTAAGGATGGAGCTCCCTCGCGGCCCTAGCCCACCCCACCTTGAGCTGACACTCGGCACCGGGCAGCATATCTTGAATGGTTGCTTGGCGCGAGAACTGACAGTGCTGCACTGGGGGAGGCAGAGGAACCCCTCACCTAGAAAAGTGGAAGGCACGCGGGGACCCATTGAACACAGGGTCGCGACCCACTTTTGGGTCACGACCCACCAGTTGAGAACCAAGGCCCTAGAGTGTATGAAGCATGCAGGTTTTTTTGTTGATTATTCATAAAGACGTATTCTGGAATATATCACCATTGGTGTGGTGCCCTTAACACAATCTAATCAATTTTCTTAAGTAACTTGGTTGTTTAATTTTCAAAGGCTTTTGTTTTTCAGCTGTATTCCTCAGTTATCCCCATATGTCGCATATTACAGACTCCTTAAAGGGAATGTATAGTGGTTTAGTACACCCTTTTTCATTGTCTGTGGTCAGGGTTAAAAATAAACAGAAAATATTTCTTCATGGAAATGAAACATAACATGTTAATATTTTTATCATGTTGGGGATTAATATGGTCTCCTTTTGAGCCAGAAGGTGAATCTTTATGGTTGTTTGATGAAAAAAAAAATCCAATAGCTCCTGTTAAAATTTACAAACAGAAAAGGATGACTAATTTTAGCCATTCCTTCCTTATCATAAAATCATAAAGCGATAAAAATTAAGTGAGACCAATGGAGCTTCAAAGCAGAAAGAGTAGGCTAGCTAAGTAGGCTTAGCTAGCCCACAGTGCTCATAAAATTCTGTATAATGTATCTGTAAATCAAGCATTGTATGAAAATAGCACAAAAAAAACAACAAAAAAAAACTAAAAGCGTATGAACTATTAAAATAATACCTAAATGAAAGTGGAACTAAAGTGGAAGAGACTCTGTAGTTTTCTTCTGCCATAATAGCTTCTGTCTTCTAAGTGTACACTGAGCCTTGCATGCGAAGCACAATGTAAATATTTGGCATGCTAGGGTGCTGAGATGAATTGACTCCCATGGGCATGAGCGGGAGTTATATAAACTCAGGCTGCCCAATCAAAATGGTCAAAGAAGCCGAACCCAGAAGACTGGGTAAGGAGGTGGGTAAGGAGGTGGGGGCGCTTTGGTTTGGTTGGCAAGTGTGCCATAATGTAATAAGTAGGGAGGCACCAATACTAGTATCGGTTTTGGAGCAGATACCGAGTATTTGGGCGAGTACTCGTACCTTCCCCGATACCGGAACTTCTGGTCAAAGGAAGATTTTCTCTGACCGGCAGTGCCGTAGGGGAACATCGAGCTGGCTTCCCGGGCAATCAGGAAGCAAGGTGACGAGTAATGACCCGCCTCCCTGACTGTCCGGGAAGGCAGCTTCCCAATCAATCAGAATGGAGCCTGCGAACAGCCTGCGCCATGCTGATTGTCCGGGAAGCCGGCTTCCCGGCCAATCAGCAACAAGACTCCATGCTGATTGACTGGGCAGCTCGACTCTCTTTCCTCTTCCTTCTCATCCTGCTGGGGAGGTGGCTCGGCTGCTCTCACCGCAGAGTGAATTGGATGATCGGAGAGGGAATACCATATCAGGCAATCTGACCAGACCCGGGCTCTCTGTAAGGGAAAAAAAAGCTGCTTTATTTCCATTCCCTGCCAAGCCATACTTTACATTTCCAATGGTAATCTTTTCAACCTCACAGGACTGTTCGGCCAGCTCAATGCTGATTGTCCTGGAAGCCGGTTTCCCAGCCAATCAGCATGGAGCCGGCTGAACTTCCAGCTCGATGCTGATTGCCTGGGAAACTGGTTTCCCAGCCAATGAGCATGGAGCCGATTCCAGGGAAATCGGGAAGCCATGTGGTGTGTCATTACCTGCTGCTCAGCTTCCTGATTGCCTGGAAATCTGTCTCCATGCCTGCGGAAGCACCAGTATCGGCGAGTACCAACAGCAAAATATCAGTACTCATACTCGAAACCAGAAAAACGGTATCGCTGCATCCCCAGTAATAACAAGGTAATTGTGGCAAAATCCACCACTATGCGGACTAAGGTTTTGCTCCTATAGTGGAACAGACCCCTTAAGAAATGACTGCTGCTATTTCAGGGAATACAAACATTTGTGTGAAAATGCGTATTAATGTTCTAGGTGAAACAAAAGCAATACAGTAAAACATTCTTGTGCGACTAGCATGTCCCTGAGTTAAAAAAGATAAATACCGTATATACTCGAGTATAAGCCGAGATTTTCAGCCCATTTTTTTGGCTGAAAAAACTGTATTCCCTTATAGAAAAAGTAACATAGCAGGAAGACACTGGGAAATGCCCGAACAATCCTGTCCCTGAATACCCACTGGTTTGCCCAAACTAATGTATGTTAGAATAAAATTAGTATTATGTATGGCAATGTAAGGTGAGAAAATACAGCAGAACATGCTTTCAGTGAGGTCAAAAAAGAAAATGTAAAGCAGAATCACAGGGATTAAACTGATATAATCATAGCCATACCTGGAAGATAGAAATTAAAATAAAATGGAAAGGAAAGAGACTTGCACATGGACCATAAATTAAGCAAGCATTCGATTACTATGCATGCAAAAAAATTCCACAGAGCAGCAAGGAGTACGTGACTGGAAAATAGTACAGAGGTTATGACCGACACAGACTAGGAGAAAATAAAATAATGAATGGAAAGAAAAATACAAAAAAAAAAAAAATATACTGAGGAAGAAAAGTCTTGAGAGTGCCAGGGAAGGACATTTAGATTTATTACTTTAACAAATGCTTAAACTTCAGAGTATGACCAATTTCTAAAAACAGATCTACCTACATTTACAAATAGTAATGTATCTAGTTAGCAGAGATCTAAATATTACCTAAAAATAATGACATAGTCTTTAGCATTGATTTATGCAATTTCATGTTGTATATACACTGACCAGCCATAACTTTATGACCAGCTGCATAATATTAGGTATGTCCCTTTTTGCCGGCAAAACAGCCCTGACCCATCAATGCATGGACTCCACTAGACCTCTGAAGGTATGCTCTGGTATCTGGCACCATGCCATCGGTAACAGATCCTTTAAGTACTGTAAGTTACGAGGTGGGGCCTCCATGGATCCGACTTGTTCTTCCAGCACATCCGACAGATGCTTGATTGGATTGAGATCTGGAGAATCTGGAAGCCAAGTCAACACCTCAAACTCATTGTTGTGTTCCTCAAACCATTCTCATTTCCATGAAGGGGTGTACTTGGTAAGTAACAATGTTTAGATACAGTGGCTTGCAAAAGTATTCACCCCCTTGTCATTTTTCCTATTTTGTTGCATTACCACCTGGAATTAAAATTGATTTTTATTTGGATTACATGTAACCGACATACACAAATTAGTCCAAAATGGGAAAGTGAAATCAAGAAAATAACTTGTTTAAATTTTTTTATAAAAAATAAACAGAAAAGGTGTACGTGCAAAATGTATTCACCCCCTTTATTATGAAGCCCCTACTTATGATCTAGTGCAATCAATTACCTTCAGAATCACCTAATTAGTTAAATAAGGACCACCTGTGTGCAATCTCAGTGTCACATGATCTCAGAACATATACACCTGTTCTGAAAGGCCCCTGAGTCTGCAACACCATTGTGCAAGCTGCACCATGAAGACCAAGGATCTCTCCAAACAGGTCAGGGACAAAGTTGTGGGCAAGTATATATCAGGATTGGGTTACAATAAAAATATTCGAAACTTTGAACATCTCACAGGAGCACCATTAAATCCATTATTAAACAATAGAAAGAATAGGCAAATCAACAAACCTGCCAAGAGAGGGCTACCCACCAAAACAGACGGACCAGGCAAGGAGGGCATTAAACAGAGAGGCAACAAAGAGACCAAACATAACCTTGAGGGGA